ACGCCGAGAGAGTCGACTCCACGGGTCGCGAAGGTGACAGGCCTCTGCTACCCGCACCGCACCTCACCGCCAGGCACAGTGCCTGGCTCCCGGTTGGCGTCAGATGACTGTGCATGGAAGCAGTTTGCCGGAATGTAAGAATAGCTAAGCCCCTGACTCCCGAGGCCTCTGATGCATGGAATTTCAAGTGCTGTAATTTTCACTGTTATTACGGTGGTTCTCGTACTCCGAAAAATAGAAAACATTGACGGTGTGTTTTAATGAGTTAAGACTTTATGTTCAAAATAAAAATTATAGGCACCGATGTCTCTATTTAGACTTGGAAGCAAGCGTTGTCTCTACAGGCAAATCGTGTATCTCATGCAGGAGAAAGGGATTGGCATCGAGAGTGTGTAGCTGGGTGGACCCTGGCTGTATCCTCTGCACTCCTCCGCTTTCTCTTGGTTGTGTAGACACGGCCAGGCCTTGGTTCGTCCTGTGTGTTTTTCTAAGGAGCAGAAGGTGCCGGAGCGAATCCATCAGCGGCCTTCCTCTTTTTGCCAATATCCTGCGGATCGCCAGAACAGCTGTAGACGAAGCGTAACAGGTGGTCAGAGAAATGACTTGAAAAATGCAGTTCTGTTTAAGCGGATTTTGTTTCATAAAAAAAAAAGAAAAAAAATTAAAAGCAACGGCTTTTAAAATTTAATGTCGAAAATAAAGGCCAAACTAGTTAAAATGAAAGAAATAGTCAAATAAAAATGTAGCCTGTGCCAGATGTAAACGAATCAATTAGAACAGCTCACAGGTGTTCCGAAAATGTTCCTATACAGTCCAAGAAAATTGCTTCCTTCATATTTTTATGACTTTAGCAGATAAAGACAATCTTTATATTAATGAACATTCTTTCAACAGCAGCAAAAAAACCATGCTATCTCATGTCTGATCCATCTCTGTGTCCCGAAGCCAGTGTTATGGATACAGATCTGTCTGCATTATTCCTAAGGACTGTCTCTGGCATCTTGACAGCTACAAACGTAGACCACTATGTCCCAACCCGGACGTCGCTCTGTATGGCCACATAAACAACCCACAGCTCGTTGTAGAAAAGCACGATCTTCACTAAGTGAATCACACAGGAAACCGTGATGATGCTTCAAAGTGACTCCCGTGGCTGGAAGGAAGTACATGTTTGACCTAACGGCTGCTATCTGTCATGGAATAAAAGCCCGCATTCCTACATCTTTTCCTCCATTCCACAAATTCCTGTTCATCTCGATTTTTTCCCCATGTGCCTGGTACTGAGCTAGGATGTAAGAAGGATACAGGAAAATCAGAAGTGGTTCCATTCCCCGAGGGAGCGAAACAGAAGCCATGGCCCGTATGTGAACAGCTGTAAAGATAACGGGGATGCTGCGTGAGAGGTGCCCAGTTTGTGTGCGGAACGTGTGGCGACAGTAGTTTTTCCCGAGCGCCTCTTAAGCGAACGGTCGGCGGTAGAAGCTAGAGATGCCTACGAGAAAGAGGGAGACGTTACTTTCGGTCGAGACGGAAGGCAGATTCTAAACACACGTGCGAACGAGAATTGAACGTGGCGATTACCATAAAGGAAACACGTTGTTAGCAGGGAATAACAGGACTGGCCTCGCTCAGACGGGGTGATCGGAAAGCACTTCGAGAGGGCGCCACGAAGCAAGAGTGACGTCGCCCACGTGATGTCACGGGGAACACGAGGGTGAAACGCATCCTCGCAAACACTCGCGTGCGGACAGACGTTCGCAGACGCATCATTCACTGTAGCCAAAGTGGAAGCGACCTGAATGCCTGCTAAAGGCACGTCCAAGTCCCAACCCCACTACCTCAGATGTGACCTTATATGGACACAGGGCCGTTACAGATGTAATTCGTTCAGACGAGGTCACTGGAGTAGGATCCATCTTTAATCCAACGTGACAGATGTCCTTAAAAGAAGACAGTGGTCATGACACACAGGACGCCGTGTGACGACGACGGAGGTCGAGATTGGAGTGACACAGCCGCCAGCCAAGGGACACCAAAGGGTGACGGCCACCACCAGAAGCCTGGAAGAGGCCAGGAATGACTCTACGCCCAGTTTCAGAGGGACAGCCCTGTGGTCACCTGCGTTCGCGACTTGCAGCCACCAGAACCGTGAGATGAATTCACTTTGCTTTAAGCCTCTCAGGGTCCCTCCGGTAGAGATTTCCCAGGAAACTGACACAGCCAGCGAATGGATACGTAGATGGAGTGCCACCACACAGGTGCATTCAGCCGTAAGAAGGAGCCACTGATGCCGCCTACGGCATGGGTGAACCTCGACGGTTTAGGCCAAGAGACAGGGGCGGACGCGGCACACCGCGTAGCATGTGGCTCTGTGTATGTGCAGTGTCCAGCAAAGGCAAACCTACAGAGACAGGCAGCAGAGCAGCGGGTTCCTGGGGCTGGGGCCGGCCTGGGGGTTAGCTGCAGACGGACGTGAGGGCTCTTCTCCGGGTGACGGGGACATTCTCAAACCGGATGGTGGCGATGGTTGCACAGCTCAGCAAACACACTAAAAATCTTTGAATCGTGTGCTTAAGATCCCTCGACTTTTTGGTATGTGAATTATACCTCGACGTGTGTGTGTGTGTGTGTGTGTGTGTGTGTGTTGGTGTGTGAAGTATACCTCGACGTGTGTGTGTGTGTGTGTGTGTGTGTGTGTGTGTGGTCGTGGGGAACAGTGAGAACTGAGGCGAAGAGGTTTGGATACTTCCTGGTCATGCAAAGCTGGTGTCAGCAGAGAGAGGGCACGCGGAGGGTCTGGAGGAGGGGCTGGGTCTGGGCCTGCGAGGTCGGACTTAGCAGTTCCAGCGGGCGGTGGGCACTGAGTCTGCCTCCCCCGGATCTTTCACAGCCGGATTAAGGAAACCCGATCCATATGTAATGCTTAAGAAAGAAGAGGCCAGAAGCCTGGTCACCTCCTCGACAGCCCGGCCCCTTATTGTCGGTCCCCGCCCACACATGACGCACTGCTGTGCAGACCGTCCCGACTTCCTGGGAAGACGAAAGACCTCTTTCTCTGAAGGCAGTTCTTTCTTTCGTTAGCAACATTCTCGGGGTGCACGGCCCCCTACACGGCGCCCAGAGGTGGTGACACATTCCCGCGCACAGAGCCACACGTCTGAGACGTGGGATGGCTAGTCACGTGCACGGACTGTTGGTGGCACGTTTGGCCGTTGTGTGCAAACGCCAGCTTTGGGGCTGAAAGGAAGACAAACCCAAACTCAGGTGCCAGAGGACTCGGCGAGGCCGCCACGGGGGAGGGTTTTGCCTCTGAGCGCGGGCTCGGCGGATTTCGGTCCAGCTTCGCGGTATCGTTCCTGGCCGCGGTCAGAGGCCGCAGTAAAGATTAAGACGAGGAACTGGGGGCCAGAGGTGCAACCTTGAACGCACACTCATTCGCTGTGAGGGTGAAGACAAACTGGTCAACCCTTCGAGATGACAGCCTGGCTTCTGAAAGTCAGGGACAGATTGGAACTGTGATTTTAATGGGAGGCGGGGGTGTGATCCCTTTGAGAAGAGGTCGCTAGCTAAATAATGAAGTAGCCGCCCTGTAGAGAAGTGCGCCCCAGAATGCCAAGATTCAGATGGCTCACCCGATTATCTCAAGGGTCCCTTCCAAATGCCCCATGTCGCCCAGTGAAAGAAATAAACAATCATGGTCAACTCGACACTTCTGAGACGTGCCTCAGAGCAAACCCAGCTACGCTGTGACGCCGTCTGACGCTTAGTGTTGATGTTGTTGTGGTTGTGGTGGTGGTGGTGGTGGTGGTGGTGGTGGTGGTAGTAGTAGTATTAGTAGTAGTAGTAGTAGTATAGTAGTAGCAGCAGCAGCAGCAGCGGTGGTGGTGGTGGTGGTGGTGGTGATGGTGGTGATGGTGGTGATGGTGTTGGTGGTGTTGGTGGTGTTGATGGTGGTGGTGGTGGTTTTCACTTTGACGAAATCCCCTTGATGTTGCCCAAACTCCGAAGCTGCAGAGGGAAAGGGTCCCCGCTTCGCGATGGGTGGAACCATTTCTCTTTGTCATTGTACCTGTCCCCAACCATTCTCCGCGGTCAGCTTCTTCTTTATCCCGTCTCCTCTTCCTCCCACGGGAAGCCTGAGGAGCAACGCCCATTTCTAGTAAAGCGGGATAATCCCACCCTTGATGCTGGCACAGCCGAACCAGACACCGCGGAAAGTGACTAGGGATGGAATAGAAATCGATGGGTTGAGACGCGTACGGCAGTGATGAAACATTGGGATCGGGAAGGCACCGTTAAGAAATAATTAAGTAGTTAAGGAGTTCGTGTGCTAGGTTATGTCGCCCTGGGCATAATGGTGGTTTTTCAGGACCTGGCAAGTGGGAGACTGTGACCTTCAAGGTGAGCCTGTCATTGACCAAATGGGTATGACTTAAGGGGTGTCTTCTCTATCGGCTTCCTGTTAATATTTTTACGTTGGTTCAGAATACAGTAAAAACACCGATAGCAATGTTATTTTGCAAGTCCTGATTTGCGATTGATTCAGATGGGCTTGGAAGTGAAAGCTGAAGGAACCTGTGGCCACAAATTGATTTCACGTCTTTTTTCTTATACAGACGTAATGAAGCATGAAACTATTTTTTTTAAATAAACTTTGTCTGCAGTATGTGTCCAAAAAAATAATCGATGTGATTTTCCTGCTTGGGACTTTATCCCCCTTTTCGTTTTTTATTTTTGCATGACTTCCTAAAAACAGTGTTTCTGAGCAGCGAAGCGGTGCGCAAGGAGGGTTTCCTCCTCGGCAGATGGCGTGGCTCCGTGACGCACGTTTCTCCTCGCAGTGGCCGGGAGAGCAGCCGCGACTCACGGCCGTCGGAGATGGGACCTGCTTTACACGAAGACACGAACTGTACACGCAACGAGGCACAGCGTGAACGGAGGCACACGTGCGTATGGAGTCAAAGGATCCCCAAGACTCAGATCCTTCTTTCTGTTCGCAGGGGTGATGGGTGAATATGAGCCCAAAATAGAAGTGCAGTTTCCAGAAACGGTCTCCACGGCTAAAGGCGCCACGGCGAGGCTGGAGTGCTTCGCCCTGGGGAAGTAAGTTCCCGCCCTGCCCTCCCCGCCCCCTTCTCCCTGGCAGGTGTGGAGCTTTCCTTGCACTGTTCACAGGGATGGTTCCGAGGTGACCGAAAAGCAAGCCTAGCTCTTTGTAATTCTGCATACCTGTCCGCTCACCACAGAGAGGGGACACGTAATGGCACGTGAAGGATTAGGCTGCCACCCTCGACGTGGCCACCAAGGAGAGGAGAATGGGTAATTCTGAGAAAGTGTTCCATTCCGTGATTATGACCTGAAATGTGCACGCTGTCTGGCCCAGAATGGCAGAGAAACGCTGGCTTTTTTTGGAGGTACATTCGAGCTGACTCTTTGGAAAAATGTGGACTTGCTTTCAGCCCCAGTTTATAGAGATGCGTCAGATGTTTCTTGAATCTCTTTTTCAAATCACCAGTCTCTTCCTTCCACTTTGGCTAGAGATAGGCAGGACCCGAGAGTCTGTATTTTACAGAGCTGTCTAAAAATTATTCACGACTTCATTATTGAGCCCTTAGCTAAGCCGACTGCCCCGGAGTTTCTGTCAGAGGAAAATGAAGAGCAGATCAGCGGCAATTTCACTACTAACCCTGCAGCAAACGTTGAGCATAAACGGTAAAAGCTATCCCCTGAAATGAGAATTTCAGGTCACCTATGCGCTTAAAAGATGCTTGAGAACCTGGCACCCAACCCTGTACATCTGGCGGCTCACCCCCACCCTCCACCGCGAAGCTAAGACGCTTTTCTTGTGTTCAAATGTTGCCTGAGGTGACAACACTAACTTTTCTCCAACCCATTTCAGCGTGTGAAATACAGGAGTCTTGAATCTTGTGTTTTACAGCAACAACGGGAGAAAGATTCTCCTCTTTTTCTTGTTATTGTTTTATCTTCTGCTCTCAGAGAGAGATTCTTTTGGTTTCTGCATTTCCAGTTGAGACTGTGTAAGCTGCAGAACGATACAGGGATCATTTTTCATATCCTGAAAACTTACACATTAAATAAATTAGGACATGGCGGTGGGACTGGACACCGTGCAGACATTGAGATCCAGTTGTAAAACAACATGTAAGACATAGAAAATGCTCATGGTTTATCGCAGAGATAAAAGCAGATCGTCAAACAGCGTAATATGGTCCCGTTTCTTATTTTACATACATACCTATGTATATATACGTGTGTGTGTGTGTGTGTGTGAACTCAATCCAGGGATGAAGTGAGAGCAGGTAATCAGATAGGTGAAGAATGTACTTGGTGAACTCTACAAGGTGATACCTTGAGAAATCCTCTCTAGAGAAAGAGCAGAATCTATGTCGTGCACACTTCCAGGGGGATACAAATTAAACTCTATTCACACGACTTGAATGGCCCTAGAATAAAAACAAAAGACCCAAATCAGCCTCCTCCGGTCGACAGAGAAACATCCGGGGTGCAATCCGGCTGCTGAAACGCATCGTCGCCGCCCGCTTAAGAGCAGAAAGACTATCTAAGAGCGTTTTGAAAAATCACACAGCATGTGTTCATCTCGCCGAGCGTAAAGACACCCACCCTGTCCTTCGCATGCAGCCCTTATGCGTTTCGAGTTAGCGTGTCTGTCTAGCGAACTCAAATTCTTCTAAAACAAGTGTAGTAGAGTTGATGGCTTTAATTTTTTAAACGCCATCTCAGGTTTTCCAGAGAAGATTAGCAAGTCTTTCCCCTAATTACTTCTCTGTGTGTATTTTTGTGGAAAAGAAATAAGTAAATGATTGTATCCACCACCCCCACTCCAGGAAACAGCAGTCTGTGAATCTGTGCTTAGCTCGCTCAGCCGTGGATTCGCAGACTCAGTGATGCTCTTCCTGCGGTTTGAGAAGGGATCTATCCGTTACGGCTGGGGGGTGATAGACGCCTTGAGAGCACGTAAAGACCCCACAGGTCGCTGTTTTCCGATCTCGCTATGTTAAGTAAAGTTTCCCCAAACCACCTCCTAACGGCCTGCGATAAGTTGGTGGGTTTCCAAGCAGAGTGTCCAAGAGACAGGAAGTGGAAGTTACCAGTTTTTATGGCCGGAGCCATGAAACAGACACAGCATCATTTCTGCCTTACTTCAGCCAGCAGAGCAGTAAGAGAACCCGCCAGGTTCAAGGGGAGGAGGGCCCGGCCTCACTCAGGGGAGGGATGTGAAGGAATTCACGGCCATCTTGAATCCTTCACGATGGTGTGTGGACGGTTCTATCTTCATACTTACGATTTAGGAAAAAAACAGATGTCCTAGGAAAAAAAGCAGCAATCACATAAAAATCCGATTTTTTTTTTCCACGATAATATTGCAAAGGAGATGGATCACCTCGTTGAAGGTTAAGAAAGGATATTTAAGGAAAACATTAAGTGCATAATAATAGCAGAGATGTGGCTAGGGGTAAAATCGTAACAGCGATGCGTGAATGGCTGAAGTTCGGGGGGCGCTGCCTGGGTCTAGCTTAGACGCTTAGAGCGAGCGGGAGGGGTCATTAGCAGCACAGGTTCAGATAAAAGACACGGTTCTCTAATGTGACTCACCCCTTTTATGCCCCTTTCAGCCCAGTGCCAACTATCATCTGGAGAAGAGCCGATGGCAAGCCGATAGCAAGGAAGGCCAGACGACACAAGTCCAATGGAATTCTCGAAATCCCCAATTTTCAGCAAGAGGACGCTGGTGCCTATGAATGTGTGGCTGAGAATTCCAGAGGCAGAAACGTAGCAAGGGGACAGCTGACTTTCTATGGTAAGTGTGGGGTCACAGTTGATCACGTGGAGTGCTACAGACCCTCTTGGTATTCAAATCATAGGCTGGGAGGTTCACATTCAGGCTTTTTCGAAAGGATTGCGCCCAACAGGACTGTGTGAAACCTCTGTTTGCTGCTCAGTCCGCATTCCCCAGGCGGGATGGGGGGATTTCCGGCTGTGGAGAGTGGGCGCTGGGCCAGGACCGATGGGGACAGGAGGAAGAAATGAGGCCGAGGCGTTGGGGATGAGCACACTTGCGAAGGGGCCATTCTTTTGTCCCTCTGCCATCAACCTGACGCGGGAAGCGTTTTGTTAGTCCCACTCCCGACTTGCTTGTTAAGCCCTGTGCTTTTCTTCGTTTATGATCTGATGTGGGTCTCGTGCGAATCCTCTGGAATTGCCCCGTTTGCTCGCAGTTTCACGAGGTACCATGAACATTTCAGAATGCACACTGTCCAAATTTAGTTCTTATCGGAGTGGAGCGTGACAAATCTCTCTCACCCCAAAGACTCTTCATGTGCAGCTGCTCCTGTCCGCATCTAACCGTCGGCGTCGATCCAGACGTCATATAAATGTAAAACCTCCAGCACGTGGGCGCCGGTCGAGCCGATCTCGAAAGCCCCTTTAGGCCGTTGATGCAAAATCCAGAAAGAGATTTCACTGGATAGGCTTGACTTCTGCCAAATTGGAACATGCCCGAATCCCATCTGCCCGGGGTGTTGAAAATACATATTCTAGACTGATAATTATTCAACAATGGTTTCAATAAACAGCCAGCATATTAAAATGGTGAGAGTAGTTCCGTACGGGCGCATTGTAGCCAAAGATTTAATTGTTCTTATTTAGCCGTCACCGATGCCACAAAAGTCTCTTTCACCGATTCCTCCAAATCGATGGCCACAGACTTGTTCAGTGGTCGTGTAAGGACTTTTAGAGGCATGATCGGCAACGGGGTGGAGATTTAGAAAAGCAGCCAGCCTTCAGTACCCTCCCCCACGTGGCCCTCAGCATTTTGGACTCAACAAACCTCTCATGTAGCCCAGGGGTAGGGGAGCGGGAAAGCACACATGGTTCTAGAAAGTTCTCCACAGGATGACCCGGGCAACGGTTGTATGAATACATCTATACTTCTCTTTAATCACTCATTTTTCCTTCAACAACAACAAAGACTAACTCTACTCAGGCCAAAGGACAGACTTGATATTTTCCTTCGCGGTTTCTTAAACTGTGGTGGTTGGTACCTTACTTGGTTGGTTGGAAAGCAAGAGACGCCACTGTTAGTCGATGGGAGAAACGAATCAGTTCAGTGAGATGCGGTCGCCGCCGTTAAGTGTTTAGGGTACTTTTTCTCACCGGTATAAGAATTATTTCTTACATGTCGGGGAGGGACAACCCAACAACACCCAGGTAAGGAGCCAATATTTTGTTTCCTTTTCATTAGTGGAACAGACTTTTCGATTCAGGAGCAGTCGTTCCCGAATTTGATTTTGAGTTCTTCAACTCATCGAATCAAGTCATTTTCGCTTGCACGATTGTAAGGGAAATATCTGTTTTCGGTGTATTAAAAAGGTACAGAATTTCCTGTCACCAGGATCTGGCTTGGTGCTTTCTAGTGGGTCTTTTTCCCTGAGCTGAGAAAAGAATTTTCTGGAGCTTCTGGTCTGAGGTCCGCCTCCCCGGCACCTCCCAGCCTCGCGTAGCGAGATGGTTTCTCCGGGGTCCTGCTTGGAGGTGAAAATCAGGTTCTAACCGTGTCACCCTCTTAAAGGAAGCCGTCCGCAGCGGTGCGCGGGGAAGTGGGCAGAATGGCACCTGCAGCTATGTGAGGGGAGCCCCGCCCCCACCTGTCCCCGAGCTGTCGCCCCCGTCCGTGTCGGAAGCCTCCGGATGAGCCGCTTTCTGCAGCGCTCAGCTGCTGCGTCCATGCTTAGTCCATCGTTTTTCGTCACCTGGCACATCAGTGACACAGAAAGCATCGAATTGTTCTCATTGTCGGAAAGGAGCTTCACTACACCAAAGTGTTTGGCTGTCGTTTTTTTTTTTTCCCCCCTCTCTCATTTTTCAGTCTCCACTGGCTTTTCCCAGTGCTGAGTTCCTGATATCCATCTGCCTCGGCCACCGATGGAAATGAGTTATTAGCATTCAAATCGCTGTGCCGATCACGAGAGGGGAGAGAGGAACCCCGGTCGCCCACCTGTGAACACGCGTCTTTGTTGACAAGAGAATCCCTCACCACACCGAGATGTGCCGTCTTGGGGCTCGCGAACCCCGGGGTCCGGCGAGGAAGCCGCTGCTTTTCTCGGTTGCAAGGTGTCACGTCGCGTTCGTCAGCTGTGCACTTCGGCGGCCCCCGGTGGGCGGGCTTTGGGTCTGGCTTCACGAAACGGCGGTCTCCCCCGGTCTCCCCTTCTCACGCTCAGACCTCACCTGGCCGGCCACAGCGCCATCACTCCCGTGTCCCCCGTGCCACAGTGACGGACGTGCCCCCACCACGGGCGGCTTCCTGGGAGGGGGGGTGTCCTTAGGTTAGCAGGTGCTGCTCGTGTCTGGGATATGTGAAGAGCGAACCGGTTCAGACAGAAAACATCGTCACCTCACCCCAGCTCCCCCGCTTCTTTCTGCCGTGACATCCACTTGCCCAGTGTGGTGTAATTTTAATCGGCTCTTTCAGACATTTTTCAGTCTAAAATGCTTTATTAAAATAAGTTTGTATAGTCACAGGGGTAAAATGCTATGGATCTTTGTTGCTAAAGGTGGAAATTTTCCAAAATGATTTTACTACATTATTAATTCATTCGACAAATTTCTTTTTCATTGCCAAACATATGGCCGGCAACATCAGGCACTAGGGCTGTGAGACTGATCCCTGCCTCGGGGAGTCTGCATTTTACGAGAAGCTGACAGATCACATACTATTAAGCAAATAAGTGAACGAGACAATTTCAGGTTGTGTTAAGAGTTACAAAGAAAATAATTAGGAAGATGTGATAGATAATAACTGGGAGCAAGGAAGAGGCTTCAGCGGATACGGGAGTCAGGGAGGACGTGTCTAGGATGGACCTCGTTGCTGAGAGAGAGCCAGCATTTCAAGGGGAAGCACATCCCAGGCAGACGGTGGGGACGTGCAGAGGCTCTGGGGTAGGGACCGCTCGACGTGTCTGAGATGCATCTGGGAATCCAGTGTGACACATCACAGGGAGAAGGGGCAAACGTTTTGAAACACAGGAAGGTGACAGATGATGCAGGACCTCGTAAGCCAAGCACAGAGTTCGGGTTTTGTTCTGAGTGTAATGGGAAATTCTAGGAGGATTTTAAGCAAGGGTCTGACTTAATCTGATTCATGCTTTTAAAAGACCCCTCTGGTTGCTTCGTGATGAAGGGATTATAAAGCACCAAGAGCAAGGGGAGGCTGCCAGGCAGGAAGCCGCGTACGTGAGAGAGGTTGGCAGCTAGGGCTCAGGCCAGAGAGCAAGTGGAAAGTCTTGAGATACATTTTGGAGTAAGAGCCAATGAGACACGCTCGTGTCATTCCCGCAAGTGCCCAGTTCGTAGATAAGGACCCTGGCTCCCTAAGAGATGACGTAACTGACCTGAGTTTACACAGTAAGAAGCAGAGTCACGTTCCGAATGCTATGCGTGCTCTTTCGTGCTTGAGGTTCTCAAACGTCAGCGGGCATTAGGAAAATCTGGAAATTTTATTAAAATGCGGATTACTGGGCCCTCCCCTTGGAGGTTCTGATTCTGCAGGGCGGACACGGGACCTGAGAGTTGGCATCTGTCAAGTTCCCAGGTGACGCTGATGCAGTTTAACTGGGGTCCACGCTGTGAGACGCGTGGCTCAGTGCTGGGCCGTTTCTGAGTGGTGGGTGAAGCTGCAGATTAAACTACCAGCGAGCGAAGGCGTTCCTGCTCCTCGGCATGCCAGCCGCCAGCTGCCAATCAGGCCTGGGGCCCCGCTGTGCACACACAGCATGGGATGGGCGTGGTCGATAAGCATCTTTGAAGAAAGGAAAGGGGGCTGTCCAGGGGATTGAGTTCCCTTGGTAGTTACTCATCTTTCCACCTCATTGTATCTGTGTAGTCACTTCCTTCTTGCACAAGGAGACCGGGGGAATATAGTCACGATTTGGAAGAATGAAGTGCGAACTAAAAGAACTTGGTATTTAATGCCTTTTACACAATTTTTCCTTTATAACAGGTGTTAAAAAACATAAAACCATCTTCATCATTGGGAAGTAGGGAATATAATATCTGAGCAGTAAGGCAGGCTCTGTATTTCATTGAATGCTTTAGTGTTTGAGCTGGAAGGAAGTGCTAGGGCCAACCTTTTGATTTGTGTAAGAAAATAGGGCGCAGAGACATAAAATAACTCACCCCAGATCACACGAGTGAGAATCAGCCTGTGACTAGAACTGTTGTATCTATTATACTACACCATATGTTACGTTCCCTGCCAATAGCACATTTTAATAAAATAGGTAAGGGGGGAAAGCCCGTCAGTCATCCAGATGCTTTTTCTGCATATTTCCTACAAGCGCTGTCATAAATGAAAACATCCAGGTGAACAATTGACTGCTTCACTCCCCATTTTCCGAAAGAGCGGCTTTTATTCCCTTCTCCACGTGACACCTGTGGCTGTATGTCCAGACCTTGTGTGCTGTGGTCTTTTGGCCCCAAAGGCAAAACCGTAGGCTCGTTGACCTTGCAATGGTGTTTGAGCATCTCTGAGGTCGTGAGTGAGTGAAGGCAGAAGCATCCTGCAATGTGGCACACAGACTTCCCCACGATGTGCTGTGTGTATGTGATCACTGGACAACGGTCGGCCCTGCAAAGTAGCTTAAAGGACAGAGTGACCAAAAACCGAACAGAGCAGATCAAGTAATTTCGCAGAAGAGCAATAGTCTAACTGTCCTCTACAGAACTGATGTTGAGACCCTCAGTTTCCCGTGTCACTTAAGATAAAGGCAACAACTTTTGTGTCTTTCCCTTCATCTGACA